GTGCTGTCCCGTTCGCTTGGCTTATTCTCAGGTTGGTTCATTTAGGTGTGCAAGGGCTTCAAGGTCTGAAGCATTCTTTGAAGTAGAGCTCTCTTGAAAGATACGTCCTTGGGCGTCTGGGTAAAGTGCAGATAGATGATGATTATCACATATCTCTCTCCTGTATCTGTACTCATTTTCTTCGGTGAACCACTCATGGCTGTGAAGAGACTTCAGCTCACTAACCACGAATGTTTTGTGCTTATCAGCACTGCATCGTTGCTTTCTGTGCCGTCGCTCCCCTTCCTGCCGCTCCGCTCCTTTGAGTGTGTATCAGAGGAGACCTGTGCCGCACCAGGTTGTCAATGCCTGCTCTCTCCGGAGATTGCCGGGACTTTTCCCCAAGGTGCATCTGGATGAACTTGAACCACCAGCCTTTCGGTTATCTAGAAAGTGTGTTTGTACTGCTCAGACTCTTATCTTTCCACCTTGGGCCTTATTAGTATGCCTTACCTTTTTTTAAGATTGAGAATTTACCCCTTTTAATATATAAACCGTCTTATTGGTTTTAATCCAGACATCATCCAATTCAGTAGTTCAGTCATATCCACGTACTTCTTTCTATTCCTTTGGTCCGGATCCATTTGTGACAGAGCTGGGGAAATCTTCTAGATGTGTACTTCCCTCTACGGCCAGTAGGTGGGGACTCACTGCCAACAATGAGACTTTTTAAATTTTGTAATCGTCAGAGCCTTGAAAAGAAAATGTTTTTCCTTTGAGACACTTAAGACTTCTCCCAAGATCCTAAGTCCTGAGAATTCTGAGATTCTTTCACATTAGAAGTTAAATGTGGAGACAACGTTCATGACCCTTTTTGGCAAGTGGCGCCACACGATTGGCATTCTAGGCAGTTCATAGTTTGCCGCGTGAGTCCTTCCAGGTCTTTCCCTGTGAGAGGAATCGTACATGCCTTGGAAATCTTTCTTGTTCTGTGGATCCGTTGGCATCTATTCTGTTAACTAGGTGGAGATCACGGAGGAATACTTCATTCCTTTTCCCCCGACTTGTTCTGGATTATTGTCTCCTGAATTTTCTTAGCTCACTTGGGTCAGGAGCACATTTCAGTTTAATTTTGATGAATCCCAGGCCTGAGCCTCTGCCGTGCCCCCACCCCCATCCTCTTTATCCAGCCTGGTTTCCAGGACTCCACTCAGGAATGTGGGGACTCTCTTAACTTCGAGTTTCCTTCCCAGGAGGTCTTACTGCTTCTCGGTTAATTTCCTTAACTGTCTGAAGAAAAAACTCATCCTGCCAGGGCCACATGAGCAGACTGGATTCCTGCCAGAGAGGCCGGCGCCATGTCTTCTTGTCCATCGCCTGGCTTGGGCAGCGCTTTCCCGATCGGCTGGCCGCACATCAGTTTGAAGCGGAATCTGTCACTCATACAGGAGCTCTTACGAACAAGTGGTCGACAGTCAGGAAGTCTTGACTTACGTTTCCGTCGAGTTTACCTATTTAATAGGTCTGGGGCCTTTTCAGTTTTAGTGTTTCCGGAGAGTATTTGAGTCAAGCTCTTGCACTTTTGAATCTTTCTTTTAGGAATGTAAACTCCCCCTTCACCCCCAG